CGCACGGGGCTGAAGCGTCTGCACTGGGTGCTGGGCGCCTGGCTGCTGGAGCATGTCTTCGTGCTGGCGCTTTACTATGCATTCCAGGGCTGGGCACTGGTGCGTGTCAAGCTGCAGACACACAGTGAGTCTCGAAAGTAATTTGCCGAAGCCAAAGCCTAATAAGAATTTCAATTCCCTTACAGAATCGCTGCAACGCTTCTGGTCACACAGCTGTTTGATCCTGTACATGAGCGCCCAGTTCGCCTTTGGGTATGTGTCCACCTCGCTGTGCCTGAAGTTCCAGCTGCCCTTCATCAGTGCCTGTGTGCTGCTCCTGGAGAGCACGCGGCTGCTGATGAAAATGCACGCATATGTTAGATACAATGCGGCCCGGGTGGTGCAGGGCAAGCAGAAGACGGACGATTACGGCGAGCTGAAGGATGCTCGTCCCTATTTGCCGCCCCTGCGCTGCTACGTATATTTTCTGTTTGCGCCCACCCTAATCTACAGGGACACCTATCCACGCACGAAGCAGATACGCTGGAAGTTCGCGCTGGCCCGCCTTATGGAGGTCGTGGCCATTGCCTTCTTCTACGCCTCCATACACGAGCGCCACATTCGCGAGTATTTTGGCCAGTTTGGCAAGGAGCCGCTGGGGCCATCTCAGGTGATTGTCAAGGTCTTTGGCATGATGCTGCCGAGCGCTGTAATCCTTTTGTGCGGCTTCTATATGATTCTCCACTCGTGGCTGAACTTTACGGCGGAGCTGTTGCGTTTCGGGGATCGCATGTTCTATAAGGACTGGTGGACGTCGCACACCTACGATGGATACTATCGCAACTGGAACGTGGTGGTGCACGACTGGCTGTACGAGTACGTCTATAGGGATCTGTATACCTACGTTTTCAAGGGCTCCAAAGTGGTCGCCTCTCTCCTGGTGTTCATGATATCGGCGCTGGTGCATGAGCAGGTGCTGGGATTCGGGCTGCAATTGTTCTTCCCCGTCATGTTTATGTTCTTCGGTGTGTTGGGCGTGGCGTTGGTGTTCCTGATGCGCAGCGCACCCAAGACCCTGGGCAACATTTGCATCTGGTTTACTCTCATTATCGGCAATGGCATGATGATCTCGCTCTATTCCATGGAGTATTATGCGAAACGTAATTGTGACCTGCGCTACGAGCGCTGGACGGACTACATAACACCTGCGATCTGGCGTTGCTATCATTAGCGAAAGAACTTTTTTTTTTTTTTAAATCGAATGTTAGTTAGTCTTACTACTTGTAATTTGTACACATGGCGTACGTTTCGTATATTAGGTAAATAAACTTAGGGAAAAATTCGTGAAAGGCTTTCAAATTTGTGTTTGACTGAATGGCCACAAAGAACTTAAGGCTATAATTGTAACAATGTACCAAAAGGTGTATGTCCTTAACCTACTGTAAACATATTTTACATCAAGGTGACTGATGGTTAACTCCAATCTTATTGAATACTGTCTAAAATTAACACAATGCTCGCTACCAACTCTACTAGCCTCTGCCTCTGGCTCGTCCTCGTCTGCGTCCTCATCTCCTTGCTCCAACTAGACGCAAACATTGACATTATTGGCTGTAGTTGGTTGCGATGCGGATGTCTCGTCTTCGACATGTTTACGACGAAATAGGATCACATGCGGCTCTGGCGCATGCATCATGTAGTGCACCCAGCCGGGACTCTGTTGAACTCCAAGGTTACGCCATTCTGTCTCTGTCATTAAATGCGATTTGGGGACATGCTTGGCCAAGTCGGGAGGCAAAATTACGTGCCTGCAAGCGATAAGCCGAATGGTGAATAAATGTTATTGGTTATTATCCATCAGATCGTTACCTATACTCATATTTGTCGTCAAAGTACTTTTCGGAATATTGAATTTGATCTGCGGGCATGGTAAATAATATTTATTTATTATTTGAGATAATAAATGTCTTTTTTCGTGGCGGCTCAACGATAAATGTTGAGCACTAAAAATGTCAGTGTTGAGAATTGTGTTAGCTTTATAGAATATGATTTCTTGGCAGTTGCGCGAACTGTGTGGTTCATTTAAATTCAAATAGAGAGTGCGTTACTGGTAAAATAAAAACCTATCAGAAAAAACACGAAGCAATGCTAAATTATTTAACCAAAAACTATTTTTCTGATATTTAGCTTTAGGGATATCTAATAAGCAAAACATATTATTTGATGTTTTACTCATTTGGTACTGTTGTCAATGATTCATTTTGGAACTGCTTAATTATGTTATGTTAACAGAAAATTGCAGAGTTGCCAGAGCGCAATTACGACGCGCTACGCTTGGCATTGTTTGCTATTTTGTTTTGTTGTGCGCAAAAATAATTTAAAATTGTTTATTGTAATTGAAGCAAACTAAATAATGGATGCAACAAGTATATTGGACGATGCCAAGCTGGAAGCATTCCGTGAGCTAAACTTACTAGAAAAGCATCGAGTTGAGAGTTTCAAAGATTGGCCCTTTTCATCAAATTCCACATGCAGCATTGGCAAGGCAAGCGAGCTGTGAATTTATTAGTAGCATACAGTTAATATTTATTTCGACTATTGTGTAGATGGCCGAAGCGGGGTTTTACTGGACGGGCACCACGCGTGAAAATGATACCGCCACTTGCTTCGTGTGCGCCAAAACCCTAGATGGCTGGGAGGCAGAAGACGATCCTTGGAAGGAGCATCTGAAGCACGCTCCACAATGTGAGTTTGTTAAAATGGGTTGCGCTGAAAAGGATTTAACTGTAAGTAAAGAGACGGTGAAAGCAACAAACAATATTTGGTATCGAAATGCATTCATTTACTTTCAGGTGGAGCAATTTTTGAACATTTTTGGAACTGTTGTAAAGATGAATATTTCAAAGAATATTAAGGATTTTAAAACCAAATTTGTGAAAGACAATGAGGCCAAGCTGAAGAGCTTCACGCATAATCAATCTTAGTTTCAATTTTTATATACATATTTAATAAATTACTTATCGTTTTTTTGAATCGTGAAATTTGCATTTCTGCCGCTCATTTCGTAGCAGTGCGCTGTTAAAGATCTACCAGGTGGCAACTCTTCAAAAAGTTAGTGCTATATTTTGCATTACACGGATTGTTTGCAGCGCAAATGCATTTTGAAGTTTATTTATTACAAGTATTTATCCGACAAGTGTTCGATGTCCACAAAGAATCGCTATTGATGAAAAGGGTGTGGAATTACGCATCATGTTGAAACACAAGCTCGATAGGCAAACGAAGGCTCTTGATCTAAGGAAAACTGAATCACTGCCAACAATCGACCAAAAATTTTATGCCTTTGAATGCAAGTTGAATGAAGAACTAGCGCAGCTTGAGTTACCAAAGGAGATTTCTTGTATTTACAATCCCGTCGAGTATGCGTCAGACTTACATTGCGCATATTTAAAAAAGTATTTAAATGGAACCAAAAATGTTGTGTTTATTGGCATAAATCCTGGGCCAAAGGGGATGTGCCAGACAGGCGTAAGTAATATTTATTTTATGAATGTGTTAATATGTAATATATGCTTATAATATTATTTGTAGATACCTTTCGGCAACGTTGGCACTATCCGTAATAAGATGCAACTTTCTGGTGAAGTGCAACAGCCGCCCTTGTTACATGCTAAACGACCTGTTACAGGCTTAAATTACAGAACTGAGGAGCAGAGTGGATTACGTTTGTGGAATCTATTTGAGGAATTGGCTGGTAGCCTTGATGTATTCTTTCAACAATGCTTTGTGCACAACTTATGTCCTTTGGCGTTTTTTGATGAAAAAGGTGGGAATGTAACACCTGACCACCTGAAGGGCGAATACAAGACGTTGATACGAGACAAGTGCTTGATGACATTAGAGAAGCAGCTCGAATTGTTGCGGCCACAGTTTGTTGTGGCTATTGGATCGTGGGTTGAGATAGAGCTTAAAAAGAGTTCGTCTTATTGTAAATCAAACGCAACAGTGATTCGTTTGAAACACCCAAGTATGCGTGTGCCCAACAATACAAAGTGGGCAGAAGAGGCGAAAGCATTTCTGGAGGAAAAAGATCTAATCAAATACATATGTAATAAGCCACAAGGCTATAGAGTGTTAAGCGAAGAAATGGAAGTTCACCTGAAAGTATAAGTATGTATATACATATATACATACAAATATATGTAACTCAAAATCAATATCATTCAATATGTGCACACATCCAGTTCTGTTGGACTAGCCAAACAAACGCCAAAAGCAATATGTAGGCTTGTATTTCCTCTAAGTTTTCCCCTAAGTCTTTGAACTATCACACACTTCACGTCACTTTACTGCATTGCACTATTGACCCTCAGCAGGCCTGGGCGACTGAAGAAATGCTACAGCTGCTGCCCTTTATATAGAGCGACTTTCACTCAGTCACTAAGTCACACTCAAATGTTGAGTTCGGCGCCAAGTAGAGATCGTGGCTGTCGAACTTTAAGTAGCCAATCGGACGACTCTCTGCTGCGTTCGTAGGAGTCGTTGCAGCCGAGCTCTAAATCTCCAATGAGAACATTCTCTGCTGATTAAAGCACTCTAGCTTCGATTTACTTAAATATAAATACCAAATGAATACTGCTGCATACATATGGACAATTTAAATAATATCTAATTCTAATGTATGTGTGCCGCCACAGGCAGCAGCGCACCAAAATTGAAACTGCTCGCAAAGAGCTGCAATTTCTTCTCTTTTGAAAGAAGAGTATACCAATCATTTGAAATTTTCATTATTTTAGGAGGGACATAAAATCGTTGATGTGCACAAAGAATACTTCTTCTCGACGAGAATGCACACATTCGCACTTACAGTATGAATGTGCTTGTGTACGAAACGATAGCTGTTTATGGGTTGGTTGAATGGCTAGTGTATTAACAGAAATGAAAATATTTGAATCACGGCCAGTGTTGCCACACTATTGCCGTTGAGTTGCCAATCACATTGTGGCTGTGAACAGCTGATTTTTGCTTGTTATTTTTTTGCTTGCCTGTGTCGTGGCGTCGTAGTCAGTTCTGTTTGTGTTAGTCTGCGAATAAATTGCAATATTTCCATGCCAAATGGCCGCGTTTATGGAGGAGGCCCTTGTGGAAGCGAGGCGAGCACGTGACGCAGGCGAGGTTCCCGTTGGTTGTGTGTTTGTGCACAATGACAAGGTAATAGCACGTGGCGGGAACGAAGTGAATGTACATCGGAATGCAACACGTCATGCGGAGTTCATATGCATCGATGCCACCTTGGCGTACTGCCGTGAGAAGCGTTTGCCAGCACGCCAGGTGTTCAGTGAGATTAGCGTTGTGGTCACTGTGGAGCCCTGCATCATGTGCTCTGCCGCATTGCACACACTCGCCGTCAAGGAGATCATCTATGGCTGCGAGAATGATCGATTCGGTGGCAAGACAGTGATAGATGTTGCCGCCGTGGTTGGCCAACAGATCAACATAACGGGCGGTGTGCGAGCGGATGAGGCAATGGCCTTGCTAAAGGACTTCTACAAGGGCGAAAATCCGGCAGCACCACCCGTCGCAAAGAAGAGGAAATGACTGGATCTCAGTTGAAAGGCGAGAAGTGAAAAGAACAAGCACCGTAGTCACCTTAAGCTTCAGCTTATGTAAAACCGTTTTGTATATGTTTTAATTTATTATAAATTTTAAGCATAGAGTCTAAGCTAAATATGGCGTTCAGAACGTTACATTTAATATAAATACAATTACTACATGAAGAGCAACAAGATGTTGTGCATATAGTCGAAGGCTGTGCCAATGCAGGAAATCAAAAAAAAATTATTTTATGTAATTCAAATTGCACCATCACCAGAATATGATATTGTTAACCCTTGTGAAACTTATTGGTATTGCACTAAAACCTAAGCTAGTCTTTTGGCTCGTCATTTGCTGCGCAAGCTGCCCCGGATCGGGGAGCGTGCGGAGCAAACAATTGCGATTGCCTTTTACAATTTCTAAATTAATGCTATCGATTTATTAAAATGTATGTGTATGTTTTAGATGCGCAGATTGCGACGTCTGTTGCCGATGTTGACCCACTCCAGAGGCACACTGTTGCCCACGTTGTATGAGGCTGGATTGCAGCTGCTTAGCTTTCTAGCTGGCTCGCAGCGACGGCTCACATTCCAATAGGCGAAGCCTTGCGGGCAGCGATATATTTGTCCCTCGATGCGGCCTGTTTCCTGCGAGTAGCCGCACTTCACGAAGACTTGGCTGCATTCATCCTGGTTCAGTGCAAAGTGTCCCTCCTCCGGACAAAGAGGCTCTGTCGAATGAATCGGCACCTAAACGGAGACAAATTTGTGGGTTAGTAAGACTGTACGATTTGCTATATCTAACAGATACTTGCCATGTTTAGTGGTTCCGCTGCCTCATCAAACAGCTGGGTACGAGACGATCCCTTGATGAAACAGGTGTCATTGGGTTCTGGTTTGCCACAGCGACATGATGCCTCCTGATAGACGGTGCCATTGGGACATTGGAACAGTACAATATTCAGATTCGACTCCGAGTTCTCATTGCACTGGTAGAATACACCGCATTGCTTGGAATGTCGACGGAAGCCGGACGGGCAGACAAACAAACTTTGCTCCTCGGTGGTTGTTGGGCAGGGAGCACTTGAATTATTGGGTACCTCAGGCTTTGGTTTCTCTTGCTGTTCGGTGGTTGTCTCCACTGGTCTACTTGTAGTAGTTGTATCCGTTGGCTTAGTTGTAGTTGTATCCGTTGGCTTAGTTGTAGTTGTATCCTCCGGCTTATTTGTTGTATCCACTGGCCTAGTTGTAGTGGTATCCACTGGCTTACTTGTAGTTGTTGTGTCAACTGGTCCACCTGTGGTGCTGTCTGTGCTGGTGGTGGTCTCTGGCTTACTTGTTGTCTCTGGAACCATAGTGGTGGTTGTCATATCTGTCCATGGTGTCGTTTCACTCGGTTTTGTTGTTGAAGTCGTGCTGCCTGAGGAGCAATTGCCAGACACCTGATCGGCGTAGTTACATGTGTCCAGGGATGTGTCCCAGACCGTGCCCTTCGGACAACGGAACTTATATACTTGATAGGTATTCTTGTTCTTGGTGCAGCGATAGTAAATGCTGCAGTCCTCTGGATCAGCGTGGAAGCCTTCAGCAGGGCACGTGAAGTTGATTGCCGGAGCCTGAGTAGTAGTTGGAGGGTAGCCTGGAACTGATCCAGTTGTCTCTGGATACATTTCTGTGGTTGTATAGTCGGTGGGCTTTGTTGGGGTATCCGTTGGCTTCTCCGTGTAATCTGTGGGCTTTGTTGGTGGTCCAGTTGGTTTCGTTGGAGAGTCTGTTGGTTTCGTAACTATTTCTGTTGTTGGCTTTGTTGGTGGTTCCGTTGTTGGTTTCGTTGGCGGTTCTGTTGTTGGCTTTGTTGGTGGTTCTGTTGTTGGCTTTGTTGGTGGTTCTGTTGTTGGCTTTGTTGGTGGTTCCGTTGTTGGCTTTGTTGGTGGTTCTGTTGTTGGCTTTGTTGGTGGTTCTGTTGTTGGTTTCGTTGGCGGTTCTGTTGTTGGCTTTGTTGGTGGTTCCGTTGTTGGCTTTGTTGGTGTTTCTGTTGGTGGTTCTGTTGTTGGCTTTGTTGGTGGTTCTGTTGTTGGCTTCGTTGGCGGTTCTGTTGTAGGTTTCGTTGGCGGTTCTGTTGTAGGTTTCGTTGGAGGATCTGTAATTTCGGTTGTTGTGACGGTTGGATTTGTTGTTGTATCTGTTGGAGGTTCAGTTTGACCCGCACAGCTCGGAACATTCTGTGCATGATCACAGGTTTGGATATCTGCATTCCAAGCAGTATTCTTGGCGCACATAAATTCGTGCTTTGTGTAGGAGTCGCCTGTTTTCAGACACCTGTAAAACTTTCGGCAATTGTTAGGATCAGGCATGAAGCCTTCGCCTTTACACTCGGTACCAGGTGGCAAATTAGGCACCTGGGTTGTAGTTTCGGGAAACATCGTTGTTGTTGGCGGTTGCGTGGAAGTGGTCCACGATGTTGTGGGCTGACTTTCAGTTGAGGTTGGTCTAGTTGTTGTTGTAGTCCATAGTGTCGTTGGAGGTTGATATGTTGTTGTTGGCTCAGCTGGAGTACTTGTTGGTTGGTTGGTTGTCGGTTGGTGGGTTGTCGGTTGGTTGGTTGTGGTCTGTCTATCCGTTGTTGATTCTGTGGCTGGCTCAGTTGGACGATTGGTAGTATTGATTGCTGTTGATGTTGGACCCTCCGTGGTATTGTCACACGGACCCTTATCGGACTCAGTTGTAGCACTACCAGGGCCATCTTCGGGCTTTGGATTGCACATATTCAGATCGTGATTGCAGGTTTGTAGGTCCTGGTCCCAAACTGTGCCCGCCGCACAATGGAAGGCCACCTGGCTAAAGCCGCCCTTGCCATTGCTGATGCAACGATAGAATTTCGCACAGTTGTCTGGATCGCCAATGAAGCCTTCACTTGTACATTTCACATTTTGAGTTGAGTTTGTTGGCTTTTGTGTAACAGGCCTTGGGGTAGTTGGTTTTTGGGTTGAGGGTTTTCCCGTTGTAGTGATCGGCTTTTGTGTTGGTTTTTGGGTTGGGTTCTGTGTTGTCGGCTTTATAGTAGATGGTGTTGTGCTTGGGGATTGCGATGAGCCCTGATTAGGTGTGGTAGATGTTGCGATTGGCCGTTGAGTAGTGGCGCTACTGCCGCAGTTTTTATCTTTGACGGCCCAGGCATGATTACAAGCTTCTATCTGGGCGTCCCATACAGTTCCGGGCGGACACGAAAAGGCCACCGTATAGAAACCACCTCTATCATTGTCCACACAGCGATAGAACTTGGAACAGTCTTTATCATCGCCTAGAAATTGGCCATTAACATTACAATCACCAGATGGTTTCGGCGACGGGGTGGAGCTAGAGCTACTGGAGCTTGATGTTGTAGAACTGATATTGTTGCCAGATTGAGAGCTTGTAGATGTCGTTTGCTCTGTGGAGCTGCTGCTTGAAGACGATGATGTAGAGGATTGGTTATTGCTGCTGTTGATGACCCGCTTGCATTTAAGGCTCTGCATGTCAATCTGCGATGGATGGTTGCAGCTGTTGGCCTCGGGGTGCCAAAGGGTATTTGGTGGGCAAGTAAATGAAACTTTCATAAATCCACCCTTTCCGTTATCAACGCAACGATAGAATTTCGAACAGTTTTCTTTATCGTCTAAGAAGGTTTCCTCACTCTCACATTTCTCTGCTGGCTTGAATGGCTTCTGCGTTGTTGTTGTGGTTGGTTCCTGGTTGGATGATCCTTGATTCGAAGACGATTCTTGGTTGGATGAAGAGCCTTGATTTGATGACGAACCTTGATTAGAGGATGATCCTTGGTTGGAAGATGATCCTTGATTAGAGGAAGAACCTTGATTCGAGGATGATCCTTGGTTAGATGATGACCCTTGACTTGATGAAGATCCTTGATTAGAGGACGATCCTTGGTTAGATGACGACCCTTGATTTGAGGATGATCCTTGATTGGAGGATGATCCTTGATTAGAGGACGATCCTTGATTGGAGGATGACCCTTGATTTGATGAAGATCCTTGATTGGAAGACGACCCTTGATTAGAGGATGATCCTTGGTTAGAAGACGAGCTTTGATTAGAGGATGACCCTTGATTAGAGGATGATCCCTGATTAGATGAAGAGCCTTGATTAGAGGACGATTCTTGATTAGAGGAAGAACTTTGAGAAGAAGATGATTCTTGATTAGAGGATGAACCTTGATTTGATGACGATCCTTGATTAGAAGATGATTCTTGATTGGATGATGATCCTTGATTGGAAGATGATCCTTGATTTGATGAAGATCCCTGATTGGAAGATGAGCTTTGATTTGATGAAGATCCCTGATTAGAAGATGATCCTTGATTGGATGATGATCCTTGATTGGAAGATGATCCTTGATTTGATGAAGATCCCTGATTGGAAGATGAGCTTTGATTTGATGAAGATCCCTGATTAGAAGATGATCCTTGATTGGAGGATGATCCTTGATTGGAAGATGATCCTTGATTAGAGGATGAGCCCTCATTAGAGGACGATCCTTGATTAGATGAAGAGCCTTGATTAGAAGATGATCCTTGATTGGAGGAGGATCCTTGATTGGAAGACGAGCCTTGATTTGATGAGGAGCTTTGATTAGAGGATGATCCCTGATTGGACGACGATCCTTGATTAGATGAAGAGCTTTGATTGGAGGCTGATCCCTGATTGGACGACGATCCCTGATTGGAAGACGAGCCTTGATTTGATGCACTTCCTGTACCACTAGCCATAGCTTTGCATTCTTCTTTCTGTACATCAGTTGGATGGTTGCAGCCCTTTGATTCGGGATCCCAAACAGTACCTGGTGCACAATCGAAAGCAACCTTATCAAATCCACCATTTCCATTATCGACGCAGCGATAGAAGCGCGCACAGTCCTTTTTGTCAGGCAAATATGTTTCCGAGTGCTCGCACTGGCCGTCAGGATTTGAGGGTTTACTTGTTGTCGTGTTCGATGAACTTGTGGAATTTTGAGCTACAGAGGAGTTGGATGTGGTCGATTGATTGCCAGAGTTCGAAGAAGATGAAGAGCTTTGATTGCTGCTCTGATTGGAAGACTGATTGCTGGAGTTTGATGACGATGAGCCTTGATTGCTGCTCGACGAACCTTGCTGACTGCTGTTTGACGATGATCCTTGCTGGTTGCTAGATTGATTGTTGCTGTTACTATTGTTTGAGCCGGAACTGGAACTGCTTGATTGATTGTTTCCGTTGGATTGTTGGCTGGAAGTGCTGTTGCCAGCTTGACCATTTCCGCTGCTGGAAGAGCCCGATTGTATGTTGCATTGTTTCTTTTGATCTTCGCTAGGTAGGACGCAAACTTTCTCCTCTTGACTCCAAACAGTGCCTGGACCACATGTAAATGGCACCACTTCCAAATTGCCATCAATATCCTTGCGACATCTGTAGAACTTGGCGCAATCCATTTTATCAGGTATGTAGGTGTTCTCGTCTTCGCATTCGCTTGATGCAGGCTGGTTTGTCTGATTGGATTGGTTGCTGGAGCCGCTGCTCGACTGATTGTTCGATGAGCTCTGGTTGCTCTGGGTGTTGCTGGCAGACTGGTTACTGTTATTGCTTTGATTTTCGTTATTGTTGGAGCCTTGGCTGCTGGAATTTTGACTGTTGTTCGCGTTCTGGTTGCTGCTTGAAGACTGGTTGCTTCCAGAGTTCTGGTTATTACTGGAAGATTGGTTGCTTCCAGAGCTTTGATTCGAAGAACCCGAGCTGGCTTGTTGAGTACTACTACTCCAACTTTCTGTGCTGCTGGAAGACTGATTGCTGTTCGACGATTGTTGGTTGCTGCTCGCCGTGGATGACTCCTGGTTGGAGTTTGAGCTCGATTGATTCGAGGAACTGTTGGAAGAGCTCGAGCTATTAGACGACGAAGACATTGAGGAGCTTGTCGAAGAACTTTGTTGACTGCTGGACGAAGATGACGATGAGGTGGTATTCTGATAGCTCGAGTGGGACGACTGTGTCGAGGTTTGCTCATCGCTGAGAGGATCGGCCTGGTTGCGGCAGCCGCCATTGGCACGAACTTTGACTATATGGTTGCAGGACTGCAGAGACTCATCCCAGGCAGTTCCGTCCGAGCAACGAAAACCAATTTTATTGTAGCCGCGCCCATTGGAGATGCAGCGATAGAACACGGTGCAGTCAATGGGATCACTCATAAATCCATCATCCTCGCACGACACGCCCTCCTCCTCAGCGGCCGAGCGCAAAGATGATGAGCTCGAAAAGGATATGACTGAAACACCACTCAGGCCTGTCAGTCCATAATTTGTGGGCAACTGATTTGCAGTAGCATAGGTGTGCAGCTCCAGGGCGGCGGCGGGTGTTACGGCGCTACTAAGCATCGCATTATGTCCATTCTGGTTATTGACGAGCCCATCAAATGGCAGCTGGCTGTCTGTCTCATCGCCGACATCGATTTCGTTCATGTACGGCTCGCACTCTCCGCGTCCGGCCAGCATCGGAGGCAGACACAGTTGGAGGGTGCGCGAGAAGACTGTGCCCTCCTTGCAGGCGAACATGTACGGTTTGATGTAATGCTCGGAACGCTTCTCGCAGCGGTAGTAGATGCGGCAGTCGTAGTCATCGGGAAACAGGCCCTCCTCCGGGCAATAGAAGGCAACATCATCGGGGCCACTGCGTCCACGGGCTGACGAAGATGGAATGTCTGCAATAAAAGTCAAGCGATATACTCGTTTGTAAGTTGGATTTAGTTGGGGGCCATTGCGATTAAGCATATAAATTAATATTGTCACGCCCAACGGCACTGGCCGAGTGCATTTCAGTCAAATGTTTGTCAAAGGATACATACGTTATATATGTACATGCACATATATAGGATATGTGCTGGCAATTCAGAACCGGCCGCTGGAACAAACCATTCAACTGAAACTTCCTGTCACAAATGCCCCGCCTGAATATATTTTGCTCAATTTCATCTGACATTTTGCGCTCCACCATCTCACATTCTCTCCCTCTCTCTCTCTCTGTCTCTTAAAGCGGGATTTTTCGCGTTGTCAAAATAAAATTGATAATTTATTGTCATTCAATGGGAGAGTGTGCTGTTTTTTTATTTTTTTTTTTTTATTATGTATTTGGAATCTGCTTCTTCTTATACTGCTGCTGTCGTGCATTCCAATAAATTTAAATGCATTTATGGCCCTTACAGCGGAACAAATTCATTTCGAAAATGAATTGTGCATGTTTTTTTTTATTCACGTACCCACAGCTCCATTGGCCGCAACAATGTTTTTTTTTCAATTTTTTTTTTTTGTCGACATGCCTTATAAACCAAATTGTTGTTGCGGCATGCAAATCTGGCAAAAACATTGTAAACGCGCGTCTAAAAATTAGACCCAACAGGGATTGGCATAAATTTGCATCAGTCACTATGCGATTTTCATTGGAGCCATGTAAGCCAAAGCCAATGCTTTATGGCCTGACGGCGTGCCCTCAGCCATACAGGTCCATTTACTCTGCCAAAATTGCCAAAATCCAAGGCCCATAAAACTTAATTATGGCAAATGTATGTGGCTCACTACTCCAGCTCAACGAAATGGCCCTTTGAGAGAGGTGGAGAAAAAAAAAACGTCTACGGCTCAGTACAAAATTAGAAATGATTTGCCTAACTCCAAGTAGAAATCGTATTATATAATTGCAAGCAAATATTTAAGTAAACCAATATGTCCTATAAGTCAAGTTTCTTAATTGCTAACCTGAGTCATGGCTTGATTGACAGAATTTATTTGGCTAGAACAGAGCGAATGATAGGATGATTTTATTATTATTTTTATTGACTTTTTTGTTTTTTGTTTTTTTTTTTACTTATTACATTATATTAATAATGTATCTCGGCTGCTGTTGTCTATTTACCCAGCTATCCAAGTCTCTTTAGTGATTCTGCCTCGAATCGCCTTTGCATAATATGTTTTAATAAAACCCAAAATAAATCTATTGCAATTGATATGAAGAGCGTGTTGACTGCTTTTAGAAATGCATAAAATTCAAGTAATTCAACAAATCCCATAAGCCACTTTACATGGAAACATAATATCCAATTTTAATGGAAATATTATAATATGCAGAGGGACCCCGAAAAGCGTCGCTCCCATTACTCTCGCTCGCACTCGGCGCGCATGGCTTTCGCTGAGTCTAAATTGACCGTTTTGTGATTTTAATTATATATGATGTTTACTTTGGAACTTATGCAAAATGAAATAAAAGGAGCGACCGCAAACTTATACGGCGCCCAGCAGGCGACAGGCGTAACGGGTCCCAGGCCACAGGCTGACCGCACAGCATGTCCGCAAATAGTTTTGGATACGCCATGTTCCGGGAAGAACACTGGCACTGCCGAAATCTGTGTGTGTGTTAGTGTCGTGGTGTGTTGCGTTAAAATTTCAATTTGCACCATTAAAGCACATTATGGCATAGTAAATGTAGTTATTAAAGCTTAAACTATACGCCGTTGGCTTATAGGAGCAGCCACTTGATACTCTGTCAGAGGGTAATACAATTTGCCATGCAACGTGTTTATATGCTATACTAAGGTGTAGTATACTCACAATCGGTAGATATTTCCCTATGATTGTTTTATTTAGTGCAAGACAGAACACATCATAATTGTCTCTATATATATTTATATCGCTCAATGTCTTCTACGGGATTATTTTAAAGTTTTCTATACCACTATAGTATAATCTAAATATTAATATGAATGCTTCGTCAAACTAAACGTGAAAATTTATTTGGGACTTTCTCCTTTGTGTTTTGTTTATTTGGGTTGTTATGCATAGCTTTGGTGTGCGAAAATTCCAGCTTCACATTTTAGGAAAATGGTAAATAGTAATTAAAATTGTTCCATTCTTTTCATAATTAAATATTTATTGAGCATGGTCGTTGTGATGCCTTATTAACTAAAAAAAAAGAGATACATAGCTGGAATTTTTCGCTTAAGCTTTGAAGAGAGAGGAAGCAATGGGAATACTGTTTCGACAATTTAAGTATAAGAAGCAATCAAAAGAGAAAGGTGCATAAAGAGAGGGAGAGAGAGAGAGAGAGAGAGAGAGAGAGAGAGAGAGAGAGAGAGAGAGAGAGAGAGAGAGAGAGATATGCGTACGTATAAAAAACAATTAATATGTGAAGCTTAGCTATTTTTTAAAATATTGTATAAGGCATGAGCTCATTAAAGCTTAAACTATATATTATAAATTATGTTACTAGTTCTTTCAGCGAGATTTGTGAACCTATGGTAATTCCAAGAATACATATAACACCTATATATTTTTCCATGCTATATTGCATACTAACTAATTAATTTTATAGGAAGAGATTAACTATAAGAACTTATTTATATTACAACTCACTTGGAAAACGTTCTATAGCTATAACTTTGCTCAGCTTTACTTCATAAAGGATATGCAAAATAGTTATTTAAAAATTCTGTTGTATATATAATTGGTTATTATCCAAGGCGAGTTTCGTGAGAAGCCTGAGCCGCGATTTGATTACCTTGGCTTGCAAGCCGACTACAGACTAATATAATAAAGCAGCTCATCCTATTCTCTTTTTGTGTAAATGCCAACGTGGACAAAATAAAAGAATTCAGATGTCAGTTTTCATTTTGCCTTGTGCACTGCATTCCGGCGAGCTGGAAGCTATTTTCGCTTTGTACAAGTAGTTGCATGTTGTAAATATGATATTTGGAATTTTGAGCTGCTGTCCAAGTTTGTCGCTCCCATGGCATTTGCTACTATGACTACGACTACCACTAGTGCTGCTGCTTCTGGGCTTGGTATAATTTCATTTGCGTCTGGTGGCATTTTGTCGCTAACTTTATGTTGAGCAACGTACGTGTGCGGCCAGGATGGCGTCAACAGTTTTATGGTAGATACACCAAGTGGGACAGACAGAGACAAAGAGTGAAGAGTGAAAGAGAGAAAGATATGGGGAAACAGAGAGCTAGAGATAAAGAGATGGAGAGAGCTAGATAAAGAGAGAGAAAGAGAGAACGTAAAGAAGAGGTAGGGGCGTATTATTTCTCAATATCCTATTCATAAAGATTTTTAGATCGAAATCTATAAGTCTTTCAATATTAATATCTATGTATAAAGAATATTTGTTTTTATTACAGCTGATTAGCTTTCTCAAATTTTCTATAAAATCTACTATAGAAATATTTATTCAACTTAAAAAAAAAATTATTTTAAAAATTATTTTAAGCTGCCATCTTTAAGTCAAGGAAATCTGTATGAGAGTATGGCAACTGCCACAGAGTATCTGCTAGTCGTATATTTTATTGACTTGATTACCTAAGCTGGCTCTCATTTTTGTTTTTGTATGTTTTCTGGTTCTCTCAGAAGTGTGTCTTTGGCTCAGCATTAGATGCGCCAAATGACCAGCCAGAAGAAATTCAATTTATTATGCAGCTTGACTTTTTTCTGACATTCTGGGCGAGATGACAGTGCGCCTGATGCTGTGACAGTTGCTTCGCATAAAGCCTGGAATGGAAAGAGCACACAGTACGCTAATTCCAACAGCTGTCCTTGTTGAAGATTCCGTTTGCTCTTTGCCGCTCCGCACCCCAGTGGGCCCTCTGCCCTCCGCTTGCTCTGCTGCGATTATAGATTTTGGTATGCGATGCGGCAGCTGCGTTTGAATTTCGCGCTGCGCTGCGCTTGAACAGATTTTAATATTGGAAATGTCCTTGAAAACATTGCAATGACCAGTGCATCGAATCCGACAACATTACTCATACGCAGCGTGTGACACCGTTGCCCGCCTGCCTGCCTGCCTGCCTGAATGTCTGCCTGGGTTTCTTGTGCCAACTTCCTCATTGGCATGCATTATTCATTTTTCGAGATAAACTCGGTAAGAAATTGCTGACAGCTGCCATAAAAGATATTTAATATCGAACTACGTTTTGTCGCACATTTAAATGGAAATTATATTTGACTTGGCAGCAATTAATTTGAGTTTCAACAACTTAAGAGCTACAGTGCCTGTCATGTCAACTAAGTAGTTGAGATGGCACGGAATGCCTGCTTGCCTGATGGCCTGCCCTGCTTTCATGGCTGCCTGCTGGCCCGGCTGCTGGTAAATTAAACATAAAGCGCTTTTAGTTAGAATCACGTTCGTCTCAATTAAACTACATTAAATTCAATTAACGAGCAGCAGGAGGCAGCTGCGCAAAATATAAGCAACACTCCCATTACGGTTAGAGGCGAGGGCTCGGCCTGGGATGCCAAAGATCTTTGTGTGCGAACGACCTGACCTACTATAACTGGCAATAGAGCCAGTGACATTGTCTTTCTCGGCCGGGTCTACGTCGTCTACGTTACAATTGACTTTCATTACTTCTTACAATCATGTTGCATTATTGAGCGTTGTCACATTGGACAGGCCCGTTGAGATGAGAGAACGAGTCGACGAGTCGACGACTCGATGACTCAACGATCCCAAGACTGCGTGCTGCACGACGCGTTAGTTCGTTCGTGTAATTAAGTTTAATATTTAATTTAATTGCATATTGTAGACATACAGTTACAGCAACTACAACAACTACAGCAACTACAACAGAGCAAATGAGTCATAAAAGGACACGAGCACGCTCCGAGACATTGCCTGGCTCAAAATTATAATGAAAGCCGGAAGCGAAAAGGCTTTCAG